GGTGGGGCTCCTGGCCCATCTTGAAGAACCCATGTCTATGAGCTTAACTTAGAGAAGTGTCACCTGGACACAGAGGTTCAGCTGGGATATGATTCAAGCAAAACCAGAGAAATCGAAGATCAAGTGGAGGCTCCTCTGACCTGGACATCCCTACGGTCAATATATCACAAACAGCTGCCATCCAGCCTCCCGGCCAGGAGTGGGGGCCCACAGAGCAGGACAGTGGGTGCCTCAAGGAACTCAATGGAGAGAAGCTTCGCACGACCAGCAACAGACAAGTGCAGTCACACAAAGGACACTCCCTCGGTGGTGAGCAGGCTGGTGAGGTAAATGAGGGTGGTGGTTTTAAGTCCCACGTGGATCAGTTAGCTTTGCACACAGAGAAAAATGTCCTGCCCTGGCCAGTGTGGCTCAGCTGGCGTGTCATCCTGTACACCAAAAGGTTTGGGGCTTAATTCCCGGTCAGAGCACATACCTAGGTTGCAGGTTCGATCCCTGGTCGGAGCAAGCGTTGGAGGCAACTAATCAATGCTTCTCTCACACATCAATGTTTCTCTATCTATTATCTATCTCATGCTCTCACTCTCTCTTGCTCTCCCTTTCTTTCCCTCTAAAACCAATAAAAACATATTGGACAGGCATCTAATTACAGCTTAGATACAGAATAAGCCCAAATGACAATCACAAAGAGACCCCTAAGTCCAGGTATACCACACACTGACCTCCCAATGCCAACCACAGAAGGGTCCTAACCGAGTGTGAGTCCCCAGGGCAGCCCGTCGAACCTTTCTGCGTTCCCAGCCTTGACCTTGGTCTTGGGGCTTTGGACAGTCAAGTCACAGGCTGGGAAATTCCTGAGCTGAGTTCAAAGAGGAGAAGGACAGAGCGCCCGGGGTTAGGGCTGCCTTCTGACAGTGGGTCACTCAGATTTCCCTGCAGGTGGCTGCTCTGTTCTGAGGCTGCCTGGGGTCTCACACAGGCCAGCCTCACCCCCTGACAGCTGGCCAGACCCTGTGCTGGCCGGAGCAAAGTAGGGTCCAGCTCCCAACGGACGTTCATAAATAATTTTTTAATGAATCAATGTTAACTAATAATTTCTTCCCTGTGCTCCAAATTCTCCATCAGTCCCCCTCTCTCCTGTATCTCCGTACACCCTTCTCCCTCCTTCAGCATTTCCACACACTCCAGTCTCCCATCTCACAAGCGTTGTCTACACCCTCTGAGTCCCGCACCATCTCCACTCGCTCCTCACACGCCCAGTCTGGTGTCCACCCCTCCTCCCTCCCCATAACTGTTCTCAGTTACATCAGCAGCAGCAACCTGGGCACTAAGCCCAGAGGCCACTGTGCACTGCTCATTGTACTTGGCCTCTCCGAGCAGCTGACACAGCCGCCGCCCGCCCCTCCTTTGTGAATGCCCCTCCCACCATGTGTCCAGCCTCCTCCACCCCAGCCCTGAGTCCCTCAAGGTGCTATCCCAGGAATCTTCTTACTCCATCCTCTCCCTGGAGAGTTCACCGCCCCACCACCCCTACACCCCAAGCTTCAATCCCATCTCTATGAAAATGACCAGATTTTTACCTCCAGTCCAGACCCTCCATCTAAACCTGGCCCCCAAATACCCAGCTGCTCACTGGCATCCCCATTCGTGTCTCAAGCATGTCCAACTCAGCACTTAGAAGTCAAGCCCTCGCCCTCCCTTCCGGGTCACTCCATCTCAGAGAAGGGCTGTACCATGTATCCAGTTGATCCCACCTCTCCCAGATCCTCCTAGCTCATCAGTCTACCTCGTAGGAAATCTGAGACCTGACTGTTTCCAAATAACCTCACAGGGCCTTCAGAGTCAGGCCACCATCCTCTCCTCACTGGACTCCTGCAGAAGCCTCCCGACTCATCTCCCATTTTCCACTCTGCTCCTTCCCACCCACTCTCCACACAACAACCACAGTGATTTTTCCCATCATCTACGCCTCTGACTAAAACCTTCCATGATTTCATTGCCCTTCGGTAGGATGAAGCCCAATATCTTCAGCAGAACTTCCAAGGGTCTGACTCTCCGTCCCTAACGGTGGATGCTCTGGCCATGCTGGTCTCCTGGTCGGAGAAGCCATGGCTCTCCTGTCCCAGAGCATTTCAGAGGCCACAGCAGTGCTTCTTGAGTGGAAAGTGTGAATGGGGATGGTGCTAAAATGCAGATTCTGATTCAGTGGTCTGGAGGGAGGTCTGAGATCCTGCACTTCTACGGAGCTCCCAAATAATGCAGGTGTTGGTGGTCTCCTGGCCTCACTTCGAGTAGTAAGTGTCTAGAACACCCTTCTCCACCCTCAGTTGACTCCTACTCAACTCTCAGGGTTCAGCTTACACATCATTTCCTCAAAGAAGCCCTCCTGACACTCTCCAAGATCAGGTTAGATTCCCCCTCCACAGACTATATTGTTCCCCCATTATGCTGTACTTCTCCTTTGGAATATTCACATCTAACTGTCCATCCCTCATTCTTTTTTTTTTAAATATATTTTATTGATTTTTTACAGAGAGGAAGGGAGAGAGACAGAGAGTTAGAAACATCGATGAGAGAGAAACATCGATCAGCTGCCTCCTGCACACCTCCTACTGGGGATGTGCCTGCAACCCAGGTACATGCCCTTGACCGGAATCGAACCTGGGACCTTTCAGTCCGCAGGCCGACGCTCTATCCACTGAGCCAAACCGGTTTCGGCTCCATCCCTCATTCTTAAAATTATTTTTTCAACTCTTGTCTCCCTAGCTAGACTACAAGTTCCAGAAAAAGGACCACAATGTCACGTTGGTCAGCATTCTTCTCAGAGTAACACCTAAATTTTCCTTTGAGGAGCCACCCCTCTCCCACTCTTGGTTCTTAGGGTATAGGTGGTGGAGATGAGACCAAGTCTAGCCAGTCAGAGCCTTTCATCTCTCTGGTTGCAATGACTGGTTCAGAGATAGACATGTGACCTAAGCCAGGCCAATGAGCTTCCTCTCTGGGCCTTTTGTTAGAACTACTGGGGAAAAGAGACTCTTTGCTTAGCACGTAGGAGCAGCTGTCACATTCCTGTCATCACAGAGACAGAGTTTAACAAAAAATGAAACCAATACAGGAAAGAGGTAGAAAGCGACAGATGTCATGGATGCAGCCGTGCCTGGAGCCTATACTTGCCATTACGAAGGCAATAAATTCCCATTTATTCTTAAGCCAAAGTGAGTTATGTTTCTGTCACTTGAAACCAAGAGTCCTGACTAATACGACATTCAAATAAATGTTGGGTGTTGAATGAATTACATGAGTATGGGAGCAATTGAAGACTGCCAAGAGGACTCAGTGACTCGTCCTAGGAAACTTCCAGAGTTCTCCCTGCACACTCCCGCCATCCATGAGCAGAGACGAGCACCCCACACCCCATCTTGCAGACCAGCGTGCTGAACCTCACAATGGCCATAGGCTTCTCAGCAATCCGCCTGCAAACAAGCCACCCAGCCCCTGGCTCAGATACAGCATTGACTAGGCTGATGAAGGTGGTCTGGCTGTCAGTGCCCCCAGGGCACTCCACAAGGAGGAGAGCAGAGAGGTCCTCAGTCAGCCCTATATCCCACCCACTTCTGAATCCTAATCCAACCAGGGCAGGCGCTGGCTGCCATCCAGTGATACTGCCCCTCAGTGCATACCACACAGCTCTGTGCATGGTGAGCATTCAATATGAGATGATAATGGAAAGGTGGGTTTTTTATCTGCTTTCTTTGGGGGTATCACTTTGCAACAGATTAGTTCAGGGAAGAGGGGGTGCCACAGAGCGCAGCCCTAATTATCATCACACCGAACTGTCCATCCCTCATTCTTAAAATTATTTTTTCAACTCTTGTCTCCCTAGCTAGACTACAAGTTCCAGAACAGGGAAGAGAAGAGCCCTAACTATTTCCCTGTGAGTCACCTCACAGCAGAGCTCCAGGACAGAGATGGAGGCTGACCTCCATGTCCCCTCAGCTGATTCAGGTGGCGGGTGACTTCTCCAAAGCCAGCCCTCACCTGGCAAAATGCAAGGGAGGGAGGTGCATTGCTGCCTGGGCAGGGATACTGCCTGAGCCAAAGTCCTCCCTGAAGGCCACATCAGGTGTGTGTGGCCATGCCACCAAGGGGGACTAGGGTAAAGGGGGAGGGGCATAGTGGGGGGAGGGTGATGGCCCCTCAGCTCCTTTCCAGGAATGAGATGGGCCTGGGCATGGGGACCTGGGATGTGGTTTCCCAGGAGAGAGACTTGTGAATAAAATGGTAACAGGAAAAGAATTACCCAGAACCTCTAAGGCAACTCTCCTGCAGGCACTGGGGTGACAGGGCCAGCCTAAGAAGGCCAGTGGGAGGCAAGTAGACCTGTGTGCAAGTTCCATTCAAGAACCAGGAGATGCCCGATCAGGGTGTGGCTCAATGGTGGAGCACTGACCCATGAACCAACAGGTCACAGGTTGCGGGCAGGAGGCAGCCGATCAACGATTCTCATCATTGATGTTTCTATCTCTCTCTTCGTCTCCCTTCCTCTCTGAAATCAATTTAAAACCCATATCTAAAAATGTCTTAAAAAAAACCAGGAGGGTCCCAGCCATGGGACCCTCCTTTCCCATCCCCAGGCCCTGGCAGCCCTTCTGGGCAGTGGCCCCTTAAGGCACTAGCCTGCAGCTACATGCTAAACCGCTCTGCTTCCTCTTGCCTGGGGCCCTTGTTCCGGATCCCCACAGCTCCACAAGGCCTCTCACTAATTACCGAGCATCCTGCCAATCCCATCAGCCCAGTCTATTTCCTCACCCTAACACCCCTGGGTCTCAGTCACACTTCCCTCCCGCGCTGCTGAGCTCAGGTGAACGCTGCTTCCAGAGGAGGCTGGGCACCCCGTGCCCTCACTGGGCAGGCGCAGCTGGGCCGGTGCCGAAACAAAGCAGAGCCTTGAGCGGCACCCCTCCCCGCCCCTCCCCACTTACCAGCTCTAAGCCTCTTACCTTCATGGTGGGAGGTGCCGTGAGAGGAGGGGACAGCGACCGGTCCGGCAGGGGCACATCCGAGCTGTTGGCCAGCTCCTGCTTCCTGTGAGGAGGCCACAGAACACAGAAGAGGTGAGTGAGGGCCTGCCCGCACCGTCCACTCTCTCCTCCAAAGCGCTGGGCTTGGGCACACCGTCCAACACACACTGAGCAAACCAGAGTCGGGTGCATTTCCCAGCTGGGATGGAGTAAAACCCAGAGCAGGGCTGCTCCACGCGTGCTCCCTGCTCCAGCAGCAGGAACTTGCGAGAAATGCACATTCTCAGGTGCACCCCAGGCTCTCGGGTGACGGGGCCCAGGAATGTGCATTTTAACCGTCTCTCCAGGTGGTTCTGACGCACGCTGAAGGCTGAGAACCACGGGGCTAATGAGGTACAGGACTGGGTGAGAGAAGAAGGGAAGAGGGGTGAACATTTTCTATTCATCCTCTCTGTGGCCCCTTTGTCCCTCAACACACACACACACACACACACACACACACACACACCCCAGCCAGACAGCTGACCTTGGGAGGAAGGGGCTGCCTGCTGTGTGAGCTGCAGGTGAAACTTATTTTAGTCCCTGTGGGCTAGGACCACGGGGAGGCGGCTAAACAGAGTTGTGTCGCCATGACAACATGATTGCGACAGGTTCCCTGCTCTCGCACACCCCCCACTTTCCATCTGGCCCTTCCAGTGACCAGGGAGTGCGAGTGCACAGTCTGATCACCAGGCAGAATGTTTGCAGTAGGATAAGGCTTCGGGACAGCAGTTATGCAACAGCCAGCTGGGCAGAGCCCGGGGGAGGCCCCGGACGAGGGACTCTGGCGTCCTGGACGTGCCCTAGTTATGTCCTGGGACGGGAGGGAAGGCAAGGATAACAGTACGAGGAGCCTCAAAAGATCAGGATGAACTAGCCAAGCCCCAACTTTACAACTGTTTCCTTCTCCAGAGCCCCAGCCTGAAGCTGCTGAGTCAGCCCAACACCTGGTCCCCCTTAAACGACCAAGGAACACCCCCTGCCAACTCGAGAGAATGTTTCTGCACTTCTTTCCAGCCCACGTACTGCCAAAGGGGTCACAGCTCCAACCCTAACCTCCTTCATGAGAGAAGCCCACCCCTGCAGAGCCCAGCCCTCTGCCCAGAACACACCCTTGTCCTGGGCCCAGCCACCACCCTGTCCCTGCTCCTCTCAGCCAGACAGGCCCAGACTAAGAGAAGCCAGGCCAGGTGCCCCGGGCCCTGTCCACCCTGACACAACGCCTGCCTTCCCCGAAGCCTGTCCTCCAGGAAGCGAGATAAGGAGGCTGCGTGCACATCTGGCTGCGAGAGGCTCCCTGTGACCCCTTAACCTCAACCTGCAAACGCGCCCTCTGCTCCTCCATCTGCCTTCCTCCTCCTTTCTTTGGTTTTTTTAAATATATTTTTATTGATTTCAGAGAGGAAGGGAGAGGGAGAGAGAGATCGAAACATCAATAATGACTGAGAATCATTGAGCGGCTGCCTCCTGCATGCACCCTTCTGGGGATGGAGCCCGCAACCCGGGCATATGCCCTGACCGGGAATCCAACCATGACCTCCTGGTTCATAGGTCAACGCTCAACCACTGAACCACAAGGCCCGGCTTTCCTCCTCCTTTCTTCTTGGACGTTGGCCTCACTCTGATGGCTGGAGAGGGGGTCTCCTCCCTCCTGATGCAGACTATAGCTAGCTCAAGAACCAGCAGGGCCAACACTCAGCACATGTACACACACACACACACACACACACACACACACACACACACACGCATGCACACACACGAATGAATGCAGCTTCTTCTAGCTCTCAGCCAGAATCACCAGCCTTCCCTTCCACCATGGGATCCAGCCTGGCTGCTCCGGCCCTCACCTGCCTGTGGTCCACCCAGGCCCACCCCTCCTGCCACTCTGCCTCTCCCGAGCAGCCACGGTCCCTCCTCTATGGGCTGCACCCCTGAGAGCCATGGTGGGGAAAGGGAAGGGAAGAAGAATGATCAAGGATGAGGAGCACCACCCTCAGGTCCCCTGAGGTGAGGACAGAGGAAGGCAGCTCCCCTTGGGGGCTGGGAGCCTGGTAGGAAAAAGCATGCAGGGAGGGGAGGGGAGGCAAGCCCCCCTCCCCCCAGAAACTATAGGACAGCTGGGGGTTAGCTGAGGACCTCTGGCCTGCTCCCCTGGAGATGGCTTGTGGGCCAACCTGACCAATAGCTGCCCTGGCTCTCCAAAAACACACACTCTAGGGGAAGACAATACTGGCAGGTTTTTACACCGGTGGTCCAGGGACGCTCGTGTACATGGTTCCCTCCATAAGGCACAAGATGTCCACTCCCATGAGGCCAGAGCAGATGCTCCCTGCATCCCAAAGGGCCCCCGTACCAAACCCTCCCTGGACTGAGCCCCTCTCCCCAGCGCCAGCCTGTTTGCCCCCGGATGCTGGAAATAACCTCCCGGGAGCAGTGGGG